TCTACCCACCACTTCTCGCGGTCATTCCTCAAACTCTTGATGAGCTGGCGCGCTGTGTCGTATGTGGCATCCGGAGGAAGGATTCTGCGGGNTCTGCATAGCTTCCTTGATTTGCTTCCAGTGTTTATTGAGTCCTTCGGCTGGCGGTCGAACTGACAGGCGATCGGAGAGTTCCGCTTCGAATGCCGATTGGCATCAATCGCTGACACTGTATCGTGGGTATCCTTTACTGGTGTCTTTTTTTACGGTTGTTTGCTAGGAGTAAGGAGAACTTGGCTCGTAACAATGCGTGGTCTGTGTCCACAGCTGTTGACCAGTAACAGCAACAGACTTGAATTGATCCCCTCCAGCGGTGGCTGATAGCGATGTGGTCGATCTGGGTCTAGCGCAATGAAGAGGTTGGCGGTTTCCATGTAAGCCGGTGTCGTTTCTCGTGTGAGAAGTTTGTGTTTGTCAGGAACAATCCGTGTTCCGTCCGGTTGGCTGGGGTTGCGTGTGGTCCGCCAAGAAGCCTTTCTGATTCGTCCAGGTCCCACTTGAGCATTGAAGTACCCGGCGAATACTAAGACGTCCGTTGATTGAGCACTTTGGAGTAGTTCAGAGAGATTTTGGTAGAATTCATCCTTGATTTCCTTTATACGGCAATCGGTCNCAAGGAAAACCGATCGTTGGCTGACGGTGAGTATGATGCAGCTCGGTGACCGTCCGTTTATTATTCAAACATTCAATCAAGTGGCTGTTTGACTCGCGTCCAATATACAGCCATGTGAAGAAGGCCACCAAGTTTGGAAACCCACAGTCGCCATCGATACTGGATTTAGTGTTGACAAACGAAGAGCCGATAGTAGAATCTATCTATGTGACCCCGATCCCCTTAGGTAGCGATTATGCAGTACTTACATGCAAATATATTTACTACGCTTCTGTTCAAGGAAGTTCACCAGATAACATGCAGAGATTCACGGATTACACACGGTTGCAAAACTTGGTGCTCTCGACTCTGTGGGTTTCCTATAACGAGGAACACAATCCGTTGGTCTTCTGGCAGAAATTTATTGACAGTTTTACAAACCTACTAGAAGCAGTGTGTAAGACAAGAGTAATATCAAGTCTAGCAAACGAAATCGGCCTATTCGAAGCCGCAGGAGGAAATGGATATCTCCAAGGGACCTATCCTGTCGAGATTAGAAACGTCTTCCGAATGTCGTCCCTCAGAATACTTATCATATACTGAGAAGCCACTGCCCGATGCTGATTCGCGAGGATAAGCTGATGTACCAAGTGGCACAGCACAGAGATTCATCTCTAACCTTCAGTTGTTGTACAAGCACGTTAACTGAATTCGGGAAGTTGAGTTAGGCATACCAGCACTAAGCTGCGCTGGGATAGTTACAGCCACTACAATGGAAGTAGCTGAAACCTCGATATTCCTAAGATTTATTGCACATATTGGGGATCTACAACCCCCTCGCCGGTTGCGTCATCTCCCGTATCCTTCGCTGACCAACGCAACATTCACTGCTGAAAACATCAAAGCAAAACTAATGGCTAAAGATGAGGATAATTTAAATCCGAAATCCCTCATCTTTTTAACGGATCACACCCGAACCGCTAGTCATTCTATTGCAACGGAAGTTCGACAAAACATTCCCGCAATCGCGGAAACAACGAGTTATTTCACCCGTATACATTGGTGGTTGTCCAAGGGACCGCGTTTACTACCGTCCTGTAACCCTTTTAACAGTGTTAGCGAAAGTCATGGCGTCAATTGTGGCGGATTCCTTGATACAACACGTAGAGGGATAATATACTCTTTCGACAGCTCAAACCGGATTCAGGTAAAAGTGATCCTGTTCCACCAACTTGCTTCTTGTTTGAGATTATTGGATCGGAACAGTGGATGAAGTAATGTAATTTATCTTGACTCCTTAATATCATTTGATCGGGTCAACAACCTAATTTTGTTACAGAAGCTCCACAATTACGGCATTTGAGGTTTCGCGCTTGAATCCCTATTCGGTTCTATCAACGTCGCCCGCGGTGTTCCACAAGGGTCTATACTTGGTCCCCGACTTTTCCCCGCATTCGTTAATGATCCACCAAATGTGTTGGTGCCGGCAACAATACTGTTCGGAGACTATGCCAAAATGTGGAATACGGTAGCAGAACCTGAGGGCTCGCCATCCCCTCAAGAAACACTTAACACAAATTAGTTGAGGACTTCATTATCTGGAACTCTGTGACATGGTATCATTGTTTTGCTGAGAAACGATTCAACTGTGTAAATATCCTATGGGACTTTGGATCCTTGTTGATAGTTCTGTTTCAGTATATCCGGCATGGTGTTGGACAGTTCTTGCAGTTGACATTGTAGGGAACAGTGCTGTGGTTTTGAAAAAATTCTCCGTAAGCAGGCGGTGGGTTTGAGCACTCTCGCTGTGGATACTGAAAGGTACTCTGTGTACGTCAGGGTTGTTTTTGTTCCTAATTCTTCGTCTGTTGTTTGTTTCCTTCTTTGAGTCGGAGTTAATGAAGTTACAGATGTAGCCATTTCGAGCGAATGCTCTGAAGAAATCTTTCTTCTCTCTCTTTGTGGGTGTATCCATGTGTCTTCGGATTCTCCCAAACAGGGTCCTAACACAAAATATTTGTGGTTGTATGGATTACTTCTGAAGTTCACAATTTGCCTTGCGGTAGTGGTGCTTATCTTCATTATCCGCAGACTAAACAATAAGAATAACTCAAAAATGGCGGTACTGAATGGGCAGCTATGCGGTAACAATCTCTACTTGCTTTTATCAAATAAAACAGTACAATTAATTTTCAATGAAGTGATTGAATCCAATTTAAGGGATCAGGGAAAATGAAGAATTTATACGTCGAAGATGGAGCTCAAACACACTCTGGACTGACGTGATTGATGTTGGAGTGTACCAATTGGCCACCACGACTACCACCGATATAATTTGTACGGATGCAAGTATTAAACAACAAACTAACCGATTAGTAAGCTTTACTATGCCATTTTGAGTTAGATTTGAGAACCTATAATGTACATTTGCGAAACCGTCGTTTTGAAGTGAGAAATCATCACTTTGGTTTGAGAAAGAAACGTTGTGGTTGGATCCGCTTCCGTTCAGTGCACCTCATTGGTCAACTGACCATATTTTTCTACCCCTGGATTGACCACCTGTCTTCCCAGGCTCTTTCTGGGTTGAAACGAGGCAGACCTCAGTCGTGCATCTTGTCGAGCTTTGTGACGGATGTCGAATCGGTGAAGCCATGCGAGTTGCGTGTGACAACCAAGCTGGACGCCACTCGATATGCATGAAGGGTGACGCACAGTTTCGTGCATACAACAGCTAAAGTACTATAGTGCTTTTGATATACGCGTTGCATCTTCAGAGTGCAATGCAAATGCGTTTTGGTCACCCCGATTCAAACTCATGATCGGAATTTGACTTCTACCTAGATGGTTGTGGGGAGCGTATCTACAGCTGGATTGGAGCACGGTTCGCGTCGATGGTACATCTTAAAATTAGAAGTTCGCATTTTGTTTGATACAATATGATGGGTTTTGCTCGACGTTTGAGACCGAGTTTGCTAGTAAAATCTCTATGGTTTGGAGGCTTGTAACCGTCGATTTTTGAAATTTGGTTCAGGTGGGATGGAGACAGCGAATGAGCTCTATCTGGGGCAAACCCGCATCTAACGAAAGTACACGGATAAACTGAATCGCGTTTTTGAATCTCAACTGAAGAATCAATGTCACAACGATCTCTTATAACTTAACTTTACTGGTTAGAACAGGCGGTGTCTAAACCTAGCGGGTGTCAACGCACAATGCGTTGTCTACGGTTGGTGCCAGAAATTGCAGGAAATCACGTGCAGATCTTCAAACAGAGATCGGGTGGAATAGGTGTCTTTCGCATTCTGGACTGGAGACTTAAGTATTATTCAACGGGCTGGGTTGATAAAGTGAAGGATATGGGAGCAGATCGATTGTCGTGGGTTGTTTACTGTCAGTGAGAATTCATGAGTACGCGTGTTTACTATCGTGGTTTGAGTTATCCTTTCCCTTAATCAAAGCATGATCACTCCCTATCCACCTTTAACAATCTTATTTGCTTTGCGCGCATAGTGAGAGTGATGGCAAACAGCAAAGTACGCTTCACGGTGTTTTATACAATGGGATCAGACATCTAGTGACTCTAAACGATGGAACACAGGTTGCTCAAACCCGTCTTATGACTCCTAACAACACCACAAATTCAGTTTTGGCGCAAGAAAACTATTTTGCAACAACCGATGTATTTTTATCACGCGATTGACACTTAACTTTCCATCAAGAATTTGCGAAAACGCTATTAATTTCTGAAAAGAACAGTCGGAAAAACGCGTCGTTCCGGAATCACACAGTTAACCAAGTTAATGCACTTCTTATGACGACATCACAGAAATGATGAGACATCTGTAGTTTTCCCATCAACACAAGTGTTTGCTGTCATTAAGTTTACTTTATTTCAGAGGCGTCGGGTGTGGGAAATCCGTGATGCAGTGCTATTCGATTGATAATTTTTAAAGTCCCACCGAATCAAGAACAAAAATGAGGCTACCGTCACATACAAATGTAGTTTTTAATCAATATGATTTTCTATCAGCTACTCATGTGCGTCGGCGAGAACTCAAATATCTCCAATTAATGAAGTCGCGATTGCTCAAGGGGTTCATTTAGTCTTATTTGACAATGCATGCATGTACACGCAGAATACAGTTCACATCATGTAACAAATTCGTTTTCGACCCGCGTATTAGTGAGCTGCCTGATTGTTCCCTATCCCATGATATCTATCTGTGATTCTTGAAGCCACGCATCATGCTTGCATACGCTCTGGCCAGTTCACGATAGAAATCACGCATGATCTCGGCCAGATAACGTGCATCAAAAAGATTGCCACTATTTGACTCTTCGTCACTGTTCTGTTTTTGTGAACCCTTTACTTGCTTCTTAGCCTCTTCGGCTGGATCGTCTGATTCGGAGGGCGGTTGAGGTTTTGATGGAGGCAGGGTATCAGACGAGAATTGGGATTTACGATCTTTGGGCCTTGTGGTTCGGAGTTTCTGTATAACATGCTCAGCATTCTTGTGTCCCCGTTGAAGATGAAGTGCCGGAACTATCAGGTTATAGCGATCGATAAGCCGATTAATTTGAGCCGTTTCTTCACTGAATTCCTGCAAGAAGGAAAAAGTAAATAAAAGTGAGGGTTACGGAGGGGAAATAGTGAACTATCTGTGCTCGTAGAGTGAAAGGATTGTGCGCTTTTACATGAATAATGAATTTCACACGAAAGCTACCTCGGGGGTAACTAGTGCACGCTACCTGGCATCAACATCATCAGATGCTCCTCATATGAAGTGTTTTGCTAGTGTGATAGATGCTATCCTTTAGTTTTCAGGCGACAGATATTGCGAATTATTCCATCCGTCATGATTGAAATACCATAGGCAAAGGCTGCTCTGGACCATTTCTGGCGACGCCTTTCCAAGACCTGTCAGAATCTATATGGAGTATCCAGCTTGGATTAGCCCATTCGATTGTTTAGAGGCACCAGGCACTCTCGATGGTCTTAGGTGTGGGTTTCACTACTTGGGAGATCGCTAATTCCCCACGAGGTAATGCATTCGAATGAGGTGGAAGTGTTCGTGATAACCAACAAACAGCACTGGACAACTGTTTCGTCCTGTTTGGGGCTCGTCAGCAGTGCGTACTTGTTGTGTCCTTATCGAATGGGCTAATCCAAGTTCGATACTCTGAATTGATTGAGCCATTCGCACAAGGTGATAACCGTGGACCGTGTAGCTCAGGGTAATGGTCTGAAGTCCCGACCCGACTGTTCGCGGTTCGAGTCCTGATAGGGATACAAAAAGTACGCTCTGCTGACGAGTCCCAAACTGGACGAAACAGCTGTCCAGTGCTCTTTGTCGGTTATCACGAACACTTCCACCTGTCAGAATCATTCACTTTTACATTGCAACCTAATCTTTGACAAAGCGCAACCGAGTCCAATGAAAACCAAGTAAAAAAAGAAAATCACAACTCTGACGAGTTATTCAGTTTTTCATTATGCTTTCTGTTAGTTCTGTGTACGTCAAATTCAAATGAAAAATTACACAATTCCAGAGCGGTCTTTTCGCATGAACATAAAAAGTACACGAGAAGACAGTTCTGAAATTACCTTGTCTCGTTTATAAATGCGAACTCAACTCAACCAACTGTGAATTACTCCTAGTAATGAGCGATACTTTTAGAGTACTCCGTGCAATGGCGCGCCGTAAAAGGGACGCCGCATGTAGCTACGGTTATTTTGAAAATCGACAACCCAAATAATTCATGAAGCGAGAATCAGTGTGAAGTTCCTATGGGAATTGTGCCGTTATAACTGAACAGATTATCCTAGGTTCAAATGCTTGTCTATCACTGATAAATAAGGCAGGCGTCATGGCTAGAAAATACAATATGCTTTCAAAAAAATACAAATTTAGATTCAAGTGAAACAGTCAATCTGATATTAACCTATACGTGAGGATCACCTAGATAGTTCGAAGATAGAACTTTCCACTGTACGTCCCGGGTTCTAATCTAGGTGTCTGCGGTCTGCTGTTTCTTGTCCAATACCAAATTTATCCCATTAGGGCCGCGTGTGTTTAAGAAAACCGAGTTTCGAAAGTTAGATTAAGTAATTGAACAATGGATTAATAAATCCTCGCAACCGTCGATTCTACTCCTTTTGTTTATCACCAAATTCCGAACTGTCAACTTTCATCCGCGAAACAACCGTTTTAAAGAAAAAGGAAGAATGACAGATAAACCTAAACATACCTTAACAGCTGCTGCCCGTTTAGCTATCGATCTTCGATCAACAGTTTCATATGCATAGAATCGTGACACGTTGGTCACAGCTTTCTCCCATCGTTCACGTAACTCTTTTCCCAACTGAATCCATTCAGGAAGATAGCCTCGATTGACGAGGATA